CGCATAGTATTTGAAGACTTAACTTTCCATTTTTTTTACCAAAAATCGACTACTCCAAAATTTCTCGGAAAACACTTTTTCTATTAATTTTGGTGCGTAGAATCCAAAACAATTCGTACTTTTTCGATCAGCCTTCTCAATCAAAAGTTAGGGACTTAAAAACCAATTTTGAAAGAAAATTTAAAGGGCTGTAACTTTTGAACTAGTAGCCCAATCTTGGAACTGTTTGAAATTATGGATTCTACAGGCCACATTCTATAAGAAATTTTTTTTCCGGGTCGATCTGAGACAATTTTTTTTTGGGGGCTCAAAAAAAGGCAGTGTATAACCTTCCTTTTTTACCAAAAATCGACTGCACCAAAATTTCTCGGGAAAACACTTTTTCTTATTAATTTTGGTGCGTACAATCCAAAACAATTCGTACTTTTTCGATCAGACTTCTCAATCAAAAGTTATAGACTAGAAATCAATTTCGAAAGAAAATTCTCAAAGGGCTGTAACTTTTGAACTAGTAGCCCAATCTTGGAACTGTTTGAAATTGTGGATTCTACAGGCCACATTCTATAAGAAATTTTTTTTTTATTTTCTGATTGGCACTTCGTGTATTAGGAGCTGAAACACCTCCTCGCACATTATAACTTCCTGATACCAAATTGGAAAAGATTTAAAACGAAATTTGGCTTCGAAATATTTTTGTGGTTGATGGGAAAAGTCCTCGACTATTATGTTCTCCTGGTAGCCAGACAAAATTTTACAATAATTTTCTGATTGGCACTTCTTGTATTAGGAGCTGCAACACCTCCTCGCACATTATAACCTCCTGATACCAAATTGGGAAAGATTTAAAACGAAATTTGGCTTCGAAATATTTTTGTGGTTGATGGGAAAAGACCTCCTCGACTATTATGTTCCCCTGGCAGCCAGACAAAATTTTAAAAGAATTTTCTGATTGTCCCCTCGTTAATTAGGAGCTGAAACACCTCCTCGCACATTATAACCTCCTGTTACCAAATTGGAAAAGATTTAAAATGAAATTTGGCTTCGAAATATTTTTGTGAGTGATGGGAAAAGGCCTCCTCGACTATTATGTTCTCCTGGTAGCCAGACAAAAATTTAATAGAATTTTCTGATTGTCCCCTAGTGTATTAGGAGCTGAAACACCTCCTCGCACATTATAACCTCCTGATACCAAATTGGAAAAGATTTAAAACGAAAGTTGGCTTCAAAATATTTTTGTGGGGGATGGGAAAAGACCTCCTCGACTATTAGGGACCTACCGTGGCCCAATCGATCTGCATGTTATTTCAGAGATATCAATTTCGAAATTCCGTCCGTCCGTCTGAGGATTTAAGATCTCAGTGCTCAGACTTCAAGAGGTTACTCGCGCCAAGTATTAAATTAAAATTGTATTTTTTGTTCCAGGTAAGCCACATCACTAAGGAAAATGGGTAGGCGGATAATTTAATCGCTTCTGCTCCTTCGGGATGGATCGTTTATAATAGACGTGAGTAAAAGAACGAGAAATCCATTGTAATTTAGTACGCTTTTGGGGCGATTGCGAAACTATCGATTCCCTCGTTTTATCTACATGCTCGATTTGGGGCGTCGCGTCTCATTCGTTTTCTCATTTAGATTGATTGGCGAGACGCGTATAATCAGGTCGCTAACTGTAACAGTTTGTTCGTTGCTGGTAATCGATTGCAATGGGAAAAATAAAGAGCTCGTACATCTGCAGTGCATTATATCAATATCTTCACATGTTAGCAACTACCTAATTTAAATTCACGGCAAAACGACCAGTGTTAATGGCCCCAATCTCTAAAAAACGAACGTACGACATTTAAAACCAATTATGCCTGAACAATGTTTAAGCTTTCAAACTTGAAGCTTTAAAAAAGTAATAATAATAAAGGACTTAATTTACGTAAGTAAATGGAAGTTCAACTTAAAAGAATATTCAATGTTGTTCTACCACTTAACTTTGGGAAATGGTTGACGTATGCCCGCGAAGGTTTCTATATAATGTAACGCTCGGGGGGTGTGCGAGGTGAGGCGACGCAGCCGGCGAAACCAAGCGTATGCCCCATCCAAGAAAACTATATTTCCCAAAGGCGGTATGAAGTTCGCGGTGTCTGCCTGTATTTAAATATTGTCATATTGTAGACACCTTTGATTTGTTACCTTGTATTATGTCCCACATATATGCCAACGTTTTATTTGATTAAAGCCTAAAGTTCAAAGGTTAATTGATTTCAATGTAATCAAAGAAAAACAAATAATGGAAAAGCCCTTTCCTCGGGCCCTGATAGTCCTACCTACGGTTTCGAAAGTTTAATAAAAATCCATGGAAACGTCAAGCTTCAACAAAAATGGGCGGTTTAAATTCATTTGTGCTGTCGAGAATGCAATTCCAAGTGAATTTCCCTAAGTGAATTATAAATTAGGATTTAATGGGCCAATGAAACATTGAAATTTTAATAAAAATCCATGATAACGTCAAGCTGCAACACAAATGAGCTGTTTAAATTCATTTGTGTTGTCGAGATTACAATTCCAAGTCAATTTCCCTTACTGAAGTTCAAATTAGGATTCAATGAGCCAATGAAACATTCGAAAGTTTAATAAAAATCCATGATAACGTCAAGCTGCAACACAAATGAGCGGTTTAAAGTAATTTGTGCAGTCGAGAATACAATTCCAAGTCAATTTCCCTAAGTAAATTATAAATTAGGATTTAATTGGCGAATGAAACATTTAAATTTTAATAAAAATCCATGATAACGTCAAGCTGCAACAAAAATGGGCGGTTTAAATTCATTTGTGCTGTCGAGAATACAATTCCAAGTCAATTTCCCTAAGTGAATTATAAATTAGGAGTGATTGAGCCAATGAAACATTGAAATTTTAATAAAAATCCATGATAACGTCAAGCTGCAACAAAAATGAGCTGTTTAAATTCATTTGTGTTGTCGAGATTACAATTCCAAGTCAATTTCCCTCACTGAACTTCAAATTAGGATTCAATGAGCCAATGAAACATTCGAAAATTTAATAAAAATCCATGGTAACGTCAAGCTCCAACAAAAATGGGCGGTTTAAAGTAATTTGTGCAGTCGAGAATACAATTCCAAGTCAATTTCCCTAAGTAAATTATAAATTAGGATTTAATGGGCCAATGAAACATTGAAATTTTAATAAAAATCCATGATAACGTCAAGCTGCAACAAAAATGAGCTGTTTAAAATCATTTGTGTTGTCGAGATTACAATTCCAAGTCAATTTCCCTCACTGAACTTCAAATTATGATTCAATGAGCCAATGAAACATTCGAAAGTTTAATAAACATCCATGGTAACGTCAAGCTGCAACAAAAATGGGCCGTTTAAATTAATTTGTGCTGTCGAGAATACAATTCAAAGTCAATTTCCCTAAGTAAATTTTAAATTAGGATTGATTGAGCCAATGAAACATTGAAATTTTAATACAAATCCATTATAACGTCAAGCTGCAAAAAAAATGAGCGCTTTAAATTAATTTGTGTAGTCGACATTACAATATTAATGCAATTTCCCTCACTAAATTTCAAATTAGGATTCAATGGGCCAATGGAGCATTGCAAATTTAATAAAAATCTATGGTAACGTCAAGCTGCATCAAAAATGCGCGGTTTAAATTCATTTGTGCTGTGGAGATTACAATTCCAAGTCAATTTCCCTAAGTAAATTTCAAATTAGGATTTAATGGGCCAATGAAACATTGAAATTTTAACAAAAATCCATGGTAACGTAAAGTTGCAACAAAAATGAGCGCTTTAAATTCATTTGTGCAGTCGAGAATACAATTTCCAGGCAATTTCCCTCACTAAATTTCAAATTAGGATTCATTGAACCAATTAAACATTCGAAAGTTTAATAAAAATTTATAACCAGACGTTCAGAGGGAAATTTATCGGTATACAAGTGCACGCACCTATTAACAACTTATTCTGTCTACTTTTTACCACCCGCACGTTAGTAAGGGAGGTATTGCATTGGGGTAAAAAATGATACCCCACTTTCTTTAGGGAAATACACGCTTTGAAGCCCCAGGAATCGGAATCCAACACTATCTCCATGATGTCGGTCCGTCTATAGGTACTCTCATTTAAAGAGAACAGAATCGTGCGTGCTCAGGTGTGGGGTTGCTAGAGACAGCAAATTTTTTATTATTAATTAAATAGGTAGATATACATAAAAGTATGCAAAATATTCGTGCAGATTTCATAATCAAGTTTAGAGTTTGTGATAAAATTGACTCGGTCGTCGGCCAGTAAATAAATTCCAAAGAAATAAAACCGCCCCTGCTTAATATTACTGCACGCGTTCAGATTGAAAGAAACCCTTACGCATAGTTTTTATTATAAAGGTCCTTTGCAGAAAGTATAGAAGCAGCCGAAATTCTATATTTTATGGCAACATGTTTAGAGACAGCTCGTAGAAACTTAATTTAGGGCATTAAATCACGATCGCTCGAAAATCGCCCTCTATTCGAGCATACGCGTTCTATCAAAATGTAAAGCTATCGAGAAACTTCGAAATAAACAGCAAATTGGAAAATATGATATCCTTTCAGATTCGACATAAAAAGAAATGCAGACAGACAGGTTAAACGAGAAAAAATAACGCCATCATTTTCCTATTCCCAATCTCAAAAAATACCAAAACTCATTTCAAACCGTTAGTAAGTCCAAATCAATCCGCCCTAACAATTTTAAATGGTTTACAAAATTGTGATCCATAATGAACCCAAAGTAGACAATCGGCCCTGTAACGGTTATCTGTAGAAAACTGTTATTTTTCCCATACTAAAAAACTGAAACTAACGTTTTTTGGCAGATAATCTGCAAGGTAAGTGTGCACGTTCAGTTTAGCGTTTCTGTAACATCACAATGCTTGCAAGTATGTACATACAACATGAAATGCATAAATGCAATATATTAAAAAAAGTAAAAAAGACACGAGTACATACAATTAATTTTTTTGGAACACAAACACATAGCTCAGTATCATAACGATACTTACGATATCTATGACAAAAAGGAACAATGAAACATAAATGTTAAAAAGCTACACACAAGAGGGGTCTAACCAAGCACTAGTTAAGGTATACAATGGCAATATACAATTAAGACTACAAACTACAGGGAATTAATGCTTGGTTAAAAGGATTTAAAGGCGTCAACCATCACGCTCTGTTAGTAGATCCCACCAATTGATCATGCTTGGCAGGCCCTCATTGGATGATGCAGCCGATTCGCCCTCAGACCAACGCGCCATTGCGACAGATGGCCTGTAATTTAAGCTTCAATTAGTTTTCCTGCAACACAAACACTCAGAATAATAAAAAGTGACCTAAAATCCAGCCACTCCATCAGTTTTTGATCAAAACTCATGAACTTACTCAGTGGGTTGTTGTATTCCAGAAATGGGAGCACCGAAATTTCGTGTGTAGTCCATTCTTCGCCAAGTTGTTGTAGGAGGGGGCATCGCGAATTCGCTGAAAAGGTGGCGGTGAACAGAAGCCAATCAAAAACTAAAAACTAACCTGCCCTCTACAACTGCCATAATTTGTTCTTGTGCACTTTGTTCTTGTGCACTTTTGCTGGTCGACGGTTCGCATTGGGGCAGGATGTTCTTTTTGAGCGACTCCACGACTTGCTGCAAGGGAAACTTGCTTATGTTACAGCAGGACTCGGATGGGCTTGCTTCATTTGCTTGTGCTAGAAGGAAAGGGCAGTGTTCGCGGTAATACAAAATTATAGTAGCCTTACTGCAAACGTATGTGGATTCGATCCTGAACTGCTGGCTTTGTTGTTCACTAAAGAAATAACTACATATGTCAATCCGATTGGAATAATACCGCATAGTTACCTATCCAGTATAGCCTTGAACTGAGACACGGATGCAACGATATCCGATGGAAACCTAGGTGGGGATGAGCTTCCTTCAGAGGAACCACTCGAATCGCTACTGAAAGTGTAAACAATTTCAGGTGATGAATCTGAACACCCCTCTTCTTACCTCAGGCAATCTAGACTAAATAACGGGTAATTTTCTTCGAAAGACGACAGATAAAGGATGTTGAACATCTTCTGCTGCGTTCGAAATGTTCTGAAAACACAATGAAGAAAACTACTCGCCTAATTACCGGCCAAACTTACTTTTCCAACTTCGCCTCCTCCTCCTGCGGGATGCACCACGTTATTTCCACGTCGGTATTCTCAAAATAGCCTGAAACCATCACAAATGAACATCCCGCCTTGTACACAGTGTACTTAATACTTACGCTTCAACCTAAGCAAAGCGGTTTCGGCCATTTCTCTTGTACCAAAGTGGATGAAGGCGAACTGATTGGCCTTGTAGATTTTTTCCACGCAGCACATGTCGTCAATCAACTTGTACAAAATTTCTAAAATATCTTTCCTCGAAAGATATCTGGGCAAGTTGCGCATGAACAGCCTCTTCACCTGAAAGGAAAAAATGAATCAAAATGGCGTCGAGGGTACCTTCCCTTTAACGGCTCATAAATTTCCTAAACCACGACAAAAGTAATTTGAGAATCAAAATTGATGCATACCGCGCCACATTGAACTAATTGCGCCATTTAAAAAGATGAACACTTTCCAGAACAATCAAAGAATAAACGGTTAAAAAATCGAACGGGATGCCAACTACTACTAAAACAATGAATTCATGGCCTACTTAATTTAAGTTATAATTAATTGCATCATACACCGATAGGGGTGCCGACTACCAATGAGAATAAAGCTGAATTGCCGCCAATCCGTTTTTTTTAAAATAACTTCTGGTTTTAACAACTTGCTACTTGCGCCATTAGTAACTTGATAATGGCGGGTGGAATGTCAACTACAATCATAAGAGAAAAGCACGCCTTACTTCTTTAATCTTAATCACTTCCGCTGTGAACACTTAATCACGTTTTGCATTAATTGCACGATTAAAATGTCGAAAATTCAATAAAAGTCACAACCACCAAAGAAAATTGTCATCCACTAAATTTCAAGCTAAGTATTAATTGCGCCTTCTGAAAACTTAATAATTTAATAAAGCCACGGCGGTGCCAACCCCCACCAAAATGACACTATTATTCCAATATGTGCATTTGTGCAACCGAAATCACAATTCAAAGTCATTTTCTGAATTCTACCCCATTGAATTTCAAGTTTTGTATAAATTGCGCCAATGAAAACTTGAAAATTTAATAAAAATCCGTGGCGATATCAACCCCGAATGAAAATGAACGTCCTAAACCCATTTGTGCAGCAGAAATCACAATTCCAAGCTACTTTCTGAATTATTACCCCCTTAAATTTCATGCGCCAATAAAAACTTGAAAATTTAATAAAAATTCATGGCGGGACCAACCCCCAATGAAAATGAGCGTCGTAAACAGTTTGTGCAGTCGAAATCGCAATTCCAAGTCACTTTCTGAATTATTACCCCACTAAATTTCAATTTTATTATTAATTGCGCCAATGAAAACCTGAAAATTTAATAAAAATCCGTGGCGGTGCCAACCCCTAATGAAAATGAGCGTCCTAAACAGTTTGTACAGTCGAAATCGCAATTCCAGTCACTTTCTGAATTATTACCCAATTAAATTTCAAGTTTTGTACTAATTGCGCCAATGAAAACTTGAAAATTTAATAAAAATCCGTGGCAGTGCCAACCCCCAATAAAAGTTAACGTCCTAAACCCATTTGTACAGTCGAAATCGCAATTCCAGTCACTTTCTGAATTATTACCCAATTAAATTTCAAGTTTTGTACTAATTGCGCCAATGAAAACCTGAAAATTTAATAAAAATCCGTGGCGGTGCCAACCCCTAATGAAAATGAACGTCCTAAACCCATTTGTGCAGTCGAAATCGCAATTCCAAGTCACTTTCTGAATTATTACCCAATTAAATTTCAAGTTTTGTACTAATTGCGCCAATGAAAACTTGAAAATTTAATAAAAATCCGTGGCAGTGCCAACCCCCAATAAAAATGAACGTCCTAAACCCATTTGTACAGTCGAAATCGCAATTCCAGTCACTTTCTGAATTATTACCCAATTAAATTTCAAGTTTTGTACTAATTGCGCCAATGAAAACCTGAAAATTTAATAAAAATCCGTGGCGGTGCCAACCCCTAATGAAAATGAGCGTCCTAAACAGTTTGTACAGTCGAAATCGCAATTCCAGTCACTTTCTGAATAATTATTACCCAATTAAATTTCAAGTTTTGTACTAATTGCGCCAATGACAACTTGAAAATTTAATAAAAATCCGTGGCAGTGCCAACCCCTAATGAAAATGAGCGTCCTAAACCCATTTGTGCAGTCGAAATCGCAATTCCAAGTCACTTTCTGAATTATTACCCAATTAAATTTCGAGTTTTGTACTAATTGCGCCAATGAAAACTTGAAAATTTAATAAAAATCCGTGGCAGTGCCAACCCCCAATAAAAATTAACGTCCTAAACCCATTTGTACAGTCGAAATCGCAATTCCAGTCACTTTCTGAATTATTACCCAATTAAATTTCAAGTTTTGTACTAATTGCGCCAATGAAAACCTGATAATTTAATAAAAATCCGTGGTGGTGCCAACCCCTAATGAAAATGAGCGTCCTAAACCAATTTGTGCAGTCGTATCACAATTCAAAGTCACTTTCTGAATTATTACCCCGTTAAAGTTCAAGTTTATTATTAATTGCGCCAATGAAGAATTCATAATTTCAAACAGTTCCAAGATTGGGCTACTAGTTCAAAAGTTACAGCCCTTTGAATTTTTTTTCGAAATTGGTTTCTAGTCTATGACTTTTGATTGAGAAGTCTAATCGAAAATGTTTTTTTGGATTCTACGCCCCAAAATTAATAAGAAAAAGTGTATTCCCGAGAAATTTTGGTGCAGTCGATTTTTGGTAAAAAAAAGGAAGGTAATAACTGCCTTTTTTTGAGTACCGAAAAAAAAAAATTGTCTCAGATCGATCCGGAAAAAAATTTTTCTTATAGAATGTGGCCTGTAGAATCCATAATTTCCAACAGTTCCAAGATTGGGCTACTAGTTCAAAAGTTACAGCCCTTTGAATTTTTTTTTGGAAATTGGTTTCTAATCTACCTATCACTTTTGATTGAGAAGTCTGATCGAAAAAGTACGAATTGTTTTGGATTCTACGCACCAAAATTAATAAGAACAAGTGTTTTCCCGAGAAATTTTGGTGTAGTCGATTTTTGGTAAAAAAAGGAAGGTTATACACTGCCTTTTTTTGAGCCCCGAAAACAAAATTGTCTCAGATCGATCCGGAAAAAAAATTTTCTTATAGAATGTGGCCTGTAGAATCCATAATTTCAAACAGTTTCAAGATTGGGCTACTAGTTCAAAAGTTACAGCCCTTTGAATTTTTTTTCGAAATTGGTTTCTAGTCATAACTTTTGATTGAGAAGTCTAATCGAAAAATGTTTTTTTGGATTCTACGCACCAAAATTAATAAGAAAAAGTGTATTCCCGAGAAATTTTGGTGCAGTCGATTTTTGGTAAAAAAGGAAGGTTATTAACTGCCTTTTTTTGAGCCCCGAAAACAAAATTGTCTCAGATCGATCCGGAAAAAAATTTTCTTATAGAATGTGGCCTGTAGAATCCATAATTTCAAACAGGTCCAAGATTGGGCTACTAGTTCAAAAGTTACAGCCCTTTGAATTTTTTTTCGAAATTGGTTTTGACTGAGAAGTCTAATCGAAAAAGTACGAATTGTTTTGGATTCTACGCACCAAAATTAATAAGAAAAAGTGTTTTCCCGAGAAACTTTGGTGTAGTCAATTTTTGGTAAAAAGGGAAGGTAATAACTGCCTTTTTTTGAATCCCGAAAAAAAAACCCATTTGTGCAGTAGAAATCGCAATTCCAAGTCACTTTCTGAATTATTACCCCATTAAATTTCAAGTTTTGTACTAATTGCGCCAATGAAGTCTTGAAAATTTAATAGAAATCCGTCGCGGTAACAACCCCCAATGAAAATGAACGTCCTAAACCCATTTGTGCAGTACAAATCACAATTTCAAGTCACTTTCTGAATTATTACCCCATTAAATTTCAAGTTTTGTACTAAATGCGCCAATGAAGACTTGGAAATTTAATAAAAATCCATGGCGGGGCCAATCGCCCAAGAAAATGATCATCTTATACTAATTTGTGCAGTCAAGATTATAGTTTCAAGTTAATTTAGGAATATTTTCCTCACTTAATTTCAAATGATTATTCAACATGAAACATGAAAAAATTAATAAAAAAAACCTAAGGTAACGTCAACAAAAATGAGCGGCTCATATGAATTAGTGCAGACAAGATTATAATTGAAAGTCAACTTCCCTCACTAAATTTCAAATTAGAATTCATTGAGCCAGTGAAACGTTGAAAATTTTAAAAAATCCACAGTAATGCCAATTACCAAAAAAAATTGGCGGTTTTTTCCCCGCTAAGTTTCAGTATTAATCGCGCCTTTGAAATCCAAAAGAAACTTTTACAAAAACGAACTCAATAAATAAAATGCGAACTTACATCTGCCATCGCTTCCGAATCTACGGTCATGGTGGTGCTGGTCCAATCCACGAGGCACTTCCTTCCAAACAAATGCAAGGGGTTGTTACGATAATATTTGTTCCGGACGAAAGCCGCGTTTTCGTGGGTTTCGAACTCGACGAAGATGAAACCGCGATTTTTCTTGTGCGTCGCGGGAGGCTTATGGACAATCACGTCCGTGATGTTCTTAAGGCCCTTTCGTATCAGCTCGTCCCAAATTTGAGTTTTGCACTTGCTGAACGGCAGCCCAAAAATATACACCCTTTTGCTCGCTATTGCTTTAACCACCACTACCCGACGCTGTAAGCGAAAAGGGAAGTTGTGGAAATGGCGCACTGCATTTTTCGCACCTTCCGAGTCAACGTAGCGTATGAAGGCGCAACCGAGGTTGTGGACGCCCTCACTGTCGGGATCCACCATCAGGATAATTTCGTAGATTTGACCGGCTCGCGAGAAGTGAACGAAGATCTCATCTTCGAGCGCGTCTATCGGCAGGTCCTTCACGAACACTTGGTTATCCAGGGGCGGCGGTTTCATCAAGTCCAACCAACGGAGCGGAGGGCTCGTTCTTCGAAAATCCCTCGAATACACGATGGAGTACGAGGTGATGGAGGTAAACTTCTGCAGACGAGCAAGGACACCACCGTCGGTAACAAAAGAGTAACTTTGGAGGGCCATCGCGATTAATTGATTAGCAGCGACTTGGAGTTTGAGGTGAAAAGTAAGAAGTGTTAAATCATTGAATGTGGTGGGCGGGCGTTGGATAGTTTGTTGGGCGTCATCCCTACCATTTAAATGTCGTACCAATTCGAGGAATGAATCCCCACCACGTGAATAAGAAGCTCTGCTCTATGTTACCATTGAGTAATTAACTAACTCTCTCTTTCTCTCCCTGTCTTACATACTTTTCTCTTATTGTTTTTATTGTAAATTTGAGAATTTAGTAGGGAATATTGAAAAACGACAGGTAGTGCCTTCATAAACAAATAATTTAAGGCTAGGGTGTGTGCTTTTTAACCCCAAGAACGCAGTACCCCAGGTCACACTTTAGTCCACTGAAGGTTTTCCATTTTTCGTGAAAAAGTATCGTATTCACCATTCTCCAGCGGTTTCCTTAAACTTTCTTTAAAAATTCCTTTTAATATCATTTTTTTTACTCTGTTATTGCAAATTTCATCCCCTACGTCAGCACTAAATAAATCATATCTTTCTAGCGATGCTAGAAATTAATTACTCATTTAGGGCGGATTTTAACCCCGGCTAAATACACTGGAATTGTTTTGGAAGTCCTATCGAAACCTGGCAAGACTTAGAAATAAGGTACTAACTTAAATAATTTTTTTGCAAAAGTGCCAATTATTTTTTGTCTCTTGTGAAGCGGATTTCAACCCCTACCGTTGGGCTAAATATACTGGAATCGTTTTGCCAGTTCTAGACATTAACCGTAACGTAAAACTTGGGACAAGGATTATTCAGGGGAATCTGGGGTAGAATTCTCTGGATTTCAGCGGAATCTGGTCGGGGGTTACCGGTGTCAATTTTGCGAAGTGGGCGAGTTTTCGTTAAGTTCCAAGTTCAAGGAGAATTCACCTGGAACGAGAGTTACGGAGGGGCAAATATTCCTGGTAAATTTTCAGAGGCACATCTGGAGTGAATATTTCAAGAATGAGTATCCCTGGAAAATTTCATTGGGGGAGAACATAATTCAGGGGGGTGAGTGTCTTTTGTGAGCCAACGAAAATTACTTGAGCCAATTTGACGAGCAGGAATATTTCAAGGGAATAAATTTAGCACCTTGGAAGAATTTTCGTGGATGAATTTCCAGGAGCGAGTATCTTTTGCGAGCGAGTTAATTTTCCGTCATCGAATTTTTGAAGGAATTTTGCAGGGAAGAATATTTGAGGAAAGAATAAGTTTTCTTTGAGGCCATTGTTTCTTTGAGAGGAATATTCAGAGCCAGCTCTCGGTAGTGAGTTTCGAGAAGCGGGATTCTTCTGCGGGAGACTAATATTCCTTAAAAATCTTTGCAGATTTTTTGTGGAACAATTTTCGGAGGTCGAATTGGAACATACTTTCGTTGAATTTTTTTGAAGGAGATATTCAGATATCGAGATTTAGTGAATGAATTTTTAAGGGCGGATATTTCCGCTTTGGAATTTCCAAGGACTTTTACAGGGTGGAATATTTAAGAGGCGGAGGGGAATGTTTAGGGAGTGAGCTGTCTGAATGAATTTTTAGGAGTAGGTTTCCTTTGCGTGTGAGGGGATTTTTGGGGGGTAGATATTTTTGGGGTAAGAATTTCCAGGGTCGAACTTTTCAAGGACGAATATTTGAGCAGGAATAAATTTTGTTTGGGGCAAGTGTCAATGAATCTTCAGAAGCGAGTCGCTGTTGGAGAGCCAATATTCTTTGAACGATTTTTAGGAGGGCACATATTTCACCAATTCTCCCGAGAACAATATTAGAGAAGGAAGAAATTCTCTTTGGGGCTAAAGTTTCTTGGGGATAAGCCAGCTCTCGTACATACATTTTTTTCAGGAGCGCGTTTATTTTACAAGCAAGCGAATATTCCATGAGCAAATTCCCGGAGGGTAGATATTTCTGGGAATAATTTTAAAGGGAGAAATAAAGGTATGAGAGGGCTTCTTCTGGAACACTGGAATTGTTTTGGTAGTCCTAGATATTAATCGGAACCTCCTGGCAAGATTTAGAACTGTCTTGCTCACTAAGTTTTGTCTATTGTGGAGCGGATTTCAACCCCTACCCTGGAATTGTTTTGATAGTTCTCTGTGCTCCTATCGTGCCTATTTGTCTCTGTTTAGTTGGGGAGATGTTTGGAAAATTTAAATGGAAGCGAAGTGAAAGTCCCCCCCCCCCCTCTCAAAATTAGGTTTAAGCATAAAACCTTATGAAATTCCGTAGTTTCAGTATATCTGTATATAACACTTTAATTTTGGGGGGTTAAGCGTTCACTTATCCCCATTTGATTTTTATTACCCGCACGTTAAGTAAGGAAGCTATTGCATAGTGGTAAAAAAATGACCCCCCCCCAGTTTTTTACAGAAATACACGTTTTGAAGCACCAGGAATCCGAATAAAACAAAATCTAGAGGATGTCGACCTTTCTGTCGATTATGTCTTACTACTCTCATTTTCGGCTATAAACGGCTGAAAATTCGAACTTAAATTTTGTACCGTATCTAATGGACCGGAATTTTAAAATGGTTGAATTAGGGGTAAATACTCAATACAAAAAAATGTTTGAGTAGATTTTTCCAACATTACAAAATGTGAAACAAACATTAAAGTGTAATTTACAGATACGATAATCTTTGCAAACAAGTGCAGCGCAATTACCTTTGATACAGTAATTGCTTTTCAATTTCCTGTAATTAGATGCATCAATACTCGGTCATTAATATTAAATAAATTTTAGTTTGCATTAATTACAATGTAATTTATAGTTGTTTGGAAGGTACATTTCCTGTCTTTTGTTATTTAATTACTTTGAATTTCTGGATTTTTGTAATTAGCATACCGTTATTTAGTATGAAAAAGTATACTTTTTTGGGGGGCGAGGTGAATTTTTGAAAAATTCCTAAAACCAAAAAGGCAAAAAACCGTGAGTGAGACAATTGAATAAGTATCAACCACAATGTATGACCATTATTAATAATGATTCTATGTTTGTAAAAAATTTTAAAAAAACAAGCACTTTTCGTCAACAGAACACGGAATCTGAACTAAAAAGGCAACAAGTAAAAATAAGAAACTTGACGTTGTTGTTGCGCAGTTCGCGCATGCGCACGTTTCATTCATGCGATATGTTTGTTTTTGCTAGAAGCGTCTATGGTTAAAATTTAAAAAAAAGATTTTCATAATTTAAAAAAAGGTCATTTCGCAGTCTGCGCATGTGCGCAATTAATTTTTACTGTGCGATGTGTTTGCCTCATCAAAGAAATATCTTCATTAATAAGGAAGTTGGTACTGCGCAGAATGCGCGTAGAGCGGCGCATGCGCACATCTAATGTTTGGGATATGAGATATGTTTGCCTTTAACAGAAGCATCTGTAATTAAAATTTCAAAAAAATATCTCGATAAATAAGATTGATATACGCCTCCTGACCCTGACCACCAACATTTGAGTGCAGAAGATATGGAGTACCGTAAGACTATTTTCAAAATTTCAACTGCAAGTAAAGTAGTTAGTGGAATTTGTACCTTAAACAAACGGGGGGGAGGGGCACAATATATACTAGCACTATTTAAAAAACACATGTTGACCACTGCAGTTTAAAAAAAGATTTCGAAGAGGCTTAAAATGAAATGTGCTGAGATTTCAAGATCTGGGATCAGAATTGCATAGCACAGGATCTTAAGACGAGGATACAAGGAGGTACAAGTTTCTTATACTTACCTATCTATATCAATTTCCAATCTTTCAAGAAAAGGGGCACAATTTTTTTCATTTTTCTGTACAGAGTGGTTCAAATTCGTGACTCACCATTGGAATCTCCGCAACCGTAAGAGATACACTGTAGGTTAAATGGGGGCAAAGTTGCCCCTTTCTGTGTGTATAAAAACACGCATTTTACAATTTTTGAAAATCACTGAAATATCACTAAGGACTGAAATCACTAAGGACTCAAATTTCGTTTTCATTGTTCACAAAAAGGTAGACATGAAGAAAAATTGAAAGAGGTTTGAAAAGGTTTGAAGAGAATTGTTAGTAAAAACGGCCGGAAGAAGACATGACGAAGGCTCGAAGAAAGCGCAAATTAGGCTTGCAGGAGGCGTGAGAGATTCTCGAAGAAGTCGTAAAAAGGACGTACTCGAAGGAAGGGGGAGAAAGGCTCAAAAGAAGTGTCCAAAACCGAAAGGAGGAAGGAAGAACATTAAAAAGATGCGTGAAGAACACTAAAAGGACGCGGGAAGAAAGTTCTATGGAGGCCTGCAGAAGTGCAGAACGCTCGTAGGAAGTGTGAAAGACTCGAAAAAAAGTGCGAAGAAGGCTCTATTGAGGAGTGACGAAATGGCTCGAAAGAGGAGTGAAAGTGTCATGAAAGGGAAGTACGAGTTTTATGGATGTGTTCAGAAGGCTAGTAGGAAGCGTGAAGAAGACCCGAAAGAATCGTGAAGAAATCTCTATGGAAGAGTGAAGTATTGAAGAAAACGTGAAAGAACCCAAAGCCCAAAGGACGAAAATTCTAAAGAGGTGTCAAGAGGACTTGAAGGAGGAGTGAACAACGTTGGGAAGTGTCATAAATAAGACTCGAAAGAGCCGCGAAGAACGATCACAAAAGCCGTGATGAACGTTCGAAGAAGATTCCAGAAAATTTGTAAGAGGCAGGAAGAAAACCGAAAGTAGGCGTGAAATAGACCTGTGGGAATCGTAAAGAAGACGTGAAGTATCAACTAAGGCTTTAGGAAGGCGTGAAGAAGTGTCGCGGAAGTTTGAAGGAGGCGCGAAATAGGCTCGGAAGAAGCACTCAAACACATCTTAACAAGTTAAAAAGTAATCGTAAACGATTTACATAAAGCGCATTTCCACTTGCATTCATTTCCCATTTGTAAGATGCAACTTCTGTTAAAATCGTAAAAATCCGGCCACAAATATGAAAGATAGCGTTGCACATGGGCAATCCATTTTTGACGTGTTACTTCAATTTCAGTTTAT